ATTATTATTATTATTATTATTATTATTATTATTATTATTATTATTATTATTATTATTATTATTATTATTATTATTATTATTATTATTATTATTATTATTATTATTATTATTATTATTATCATTATTACTATCATTATCATTACTATTATCATTATATTATTATTAATTACTAATTATTACTCACAACCACAACGTTTTTTATTACAACTATTATTTTGGTGCCATTTTATAGTCAGAAGTACCTTGGAAAAACTGTAATAATCCATGGAATACACCATTATGTGCAATTAATCTAAATGGTTTAAATGGTACCATTGTAACCAATCAAAGCAATAATTTGAGTGGAAAATTAAGAACGCCGTCTGAGGAATTCTTTCTGTTGGTTTCAATTAAAACCATATTTTATAAAAGATTCGATCAATTTCAAAAATATTTCTACTATTTCCTTTTTTTTTCCAAAGACTAGAATTTCCTATAAAAAAGAAAACAAAAAATCAAATTATTCTTATTTAATTTTTTAATTAATTTTTACGTTTTAAAATTCAATTTCACATAATAGTAAAATTATTAAAATTCAATGCACCTTTATGATTTATATTAATTAGGCAATTTCGAGTCGTAACTTTTTTTGAAAAAAAAAAAATTTGTATTTCTGGAAATTTTATTTGGCATAACTAATAAAATATTAAAGCTTATGTTTGATTAAGCTAAAAGCGGATAGCAATCTAAAAGTTTAATTAATAGCTAAATTATGATAAATAATTTGATACATGACAAATATCATGAACTTCTAATTGATCCATATATAATCCAATTCTTTTTTTTTTTTTGACTATTTCATTAAAAGACAAAAAAAAAAACTCCGTTAATTAATATTTTACAAAAAAAAATTTTTTTTTTTTATCAGATTTAATGTATTGGAAGAAAATCATTCCCGCGGTTTCGATGATCTCGGCAGTATTAAGCCATCATTAGCCTTGTGTCTTATCATTGTTTTTATTCTTGTCTATTTTGCGCTCTGGAAAGGACCACGAAGTAGCGGGAAAGTTTGTTTTTGTTTGTTTATTTCTTTATTTTTCTTTATGCTTTTTTTTCAAAATTAATATATAATTAGAATATAATGTGAGATATTTATAGAAATTATAAATCTCGAGTATTACTGTATCTTAGATAATTAAAGAATAGGATGACATATAAGGGATATTATAGTATTTATCAATCATAGTATCGTAATACTTATCATTGAAATTTCTGATTAATGTTTATCATCCGTCAACAAAATATAAGCTCAATTTTAACTTTTTTGAAACATATACTAAAACTGTCGAATGAATTAAGTAATACTTGGGATTTGTTAATTCTCATATGGGCTAATTAACTGTTCTTTTAATTAATTGTTCTCTTTTTGGTATATATCAATTAGCATCATACGTAATCTACTCATTCCTGACAAAAAAAAAAATGCTTTAAACTATAAATTGCTTTATCTATATCTAGAAAGACAATTAATTAATTTCAGATAATGAAATGATAAATCCTTTATTGATCAATCAATATATATTTACTAAGTTTTGGGCATTTAAATTAAATATTTTTTTTTTTTTTTAAAAAAAAATTTTTAGTACGTATGGATAACAGCTACAGCACCATATGTAATCTTATCAGTACTTTTCGTACGTGGAATTACATTACCTGGTGCATCAATTGGAATTTATTATTATTTGATGCCAAATTTTGAAATGCTTTTTGATATTGATGTTTGGACAGCTGCAGCTACACAAATTTTCTTTTCACTTGGTCCTGGATTTGGTGTATTACTTGCATTAAGTAGTTATAATGATTTTCGAAATAATTGTTATCGGTATTATCTTTTTCCTTTTCTTTTTAAATTCCAAATTTATTTTCAGGAAAAAAGAAATTTTTCTTTTTTATATATATATTTAAAAAAATATATAATTTGTAAAATATACAAATATAATTTAAATATTATTCTGAAATCATTTGGCATTTAATATTTTAATTTCATGCAATAATTTCAGAATACTTTTGTATGATGAATTATATTTTAGTGATAGAGGATGATTGATTATTTAATAATTGAATTAATAATCAAAAAACTAATATATATATATATATATATTATATATTGATCAGTAACTGAATGATTGATTATTTACTAATAACTGATTATTTGGTAATTGGATTAACCATAAAATTGATATACGTCACATATATTATTTAATAATTGAATAACTGATTATTTAATTAATAGCTGATTATTCAATAATCAAATTAATCAAAAAATTAATATATTGTTATATACCTGTCATATAAATTGAATATCATTTGTACAAATCGATCATTGATATATTACAGAGATGCATTGGTGACATCATTTATCAATTGTGGTACTTCATTTTTTGCTGGTTTTGTAATATTTGCAACTCTTGGCTATATGTCAACTATAACAAATTTACCAGTTAATGAGGTAGTAGGTGACAATGATGCTAATATTATATTTATCGTCTATCCACAAGCAATTGCTACAATGTCATATGCAAATTGTTGGTCTTTCATATTCTTTGTCATGCTAATTACTCTTGGTATTGATAGTACGGTAAGTATTATTGCAAAGTTTTATTGCCTATATTTTGTATGGTGATAAAAGATGATCTGTTTATCTAATAATTGAATGACTCAAAAATTTATTTTAATTTATTTAATGGATCAAATTTTAAAACAAAAAAATCAAGAAAATCAAAAAACAGCTAGTGAATATTTTTTTGAAAAAAAAAAAAGACAGCAAATTTTTAAAAACTATTCTTACTTTAAAGTTTAAAAAAAGAAAGAAGAAAAACATATACTAAAATATGTGCTTTTTATTTTGATTTCTTAAAAAAAAACTTTCGTGATTTTTTATTTGTAC